GTTACACAGGTAAGTGGCTATCCGGACTCAAAAGATAAGCGAATAATGTGATAGTGTTTGAAGCAAACGACCCTTGGTTCGAGTCCCAGGATGCAGATACATCCATTTGACGAGTCCCAAAAGATGACGAGACGTGTGTCCTGGATTCCAGCGATAGCCACATTCTATCCATTCTATATCAACTTATGTTATGATGGTCTCACTGAGGCTATCCCCACAGGATGTATATATGTGAATATGTCAAACCATATTCAAACCATTTCAAATTGAATTAGAGTATAGTAACATTCGTTAGTTAATTAGGATTGTAGCCAGCACTTAAATACAGAGCGCACATTTTGTCCTATTCAGAATTCAACAACTGGATGTACCTATATCCCAGTGTTTATGTTTAATAACGTAAAAGTATAAATCTTTGAGAATAAGCCAATAGTTAGTTTATTACCAAATGAAGTGACTAAATAAACTTATAGGGTAGATGAAATCGTCCTGAACTACGAATGATCAGGTATAAGGTAAATCAGCATTTACTTTACAAGACGATTTCCATAAAAATAACATAAAAGTTCCTTGGATGAATTTACGAAGTGTTCAGAATTGACCATGAGTTGTAAAAATTAAATTAAAAATGATATAATAAATAAAAGTAAAACTTATGGGAACTACCACATTGATCTCAGTGATTTAACACATTTTCTTTACATTAGTTATCCCTTTTTTGGGAAGGGGAAAACTAAAATATATTTTCGATTGGTTTTAGTATGGAAAAGGTACTGTACTTATAAATCAATTGCTTCTACTCAGATCTTTAATGCTTAATTTGTAATCTTTGTTTTTTATCATTAGTTGATCATTTAAAATAAAGCAATTTATATCATTTAATTTGTTTGGTGCACCAAATGGTATGAATACTCACTGACTAGCCGCATCTCAGACTCGTACACTCTTCAATAATTGGATTTTAAATAGAAAACAGTGATTAGGATTATCTAAACGATTAACTCAAAGTTTAATTTTGATACAAAAAATTAGGATAACAGACGATTTAAATTATCTAAAAGTTTTGAGAACAGATCACAAACTTAGTAACAATTCTAGTAATAATACAGTCAATGTATTTTCTCCAGAAGTTTTTTTAGGAATTTCCAAAGAACTCTAGTTAGTCAAAGCATTTCCGCCATTTTGCCTTGACTTTGGAGAATTTTACAAAGAATTATAAATGAGTCTCAAAAGTATTATTGGGGAATATTCTTTTGTGTGAATACTAACTTTGTTTTATGCAATGAGTATTCAATCATTCGGTCATATCAAAGAGTCTTTTCTTTCAACAAAATCCTACCACGTAATTCTGGGAAAAATTAGCTCTTGACAAACTACAGGGGATCAGTTTGACTGAATGTTCATTAATTTCTCTGTGAAACATTTTTTTCAAAATAGTTTATCTTCAACCTAATTTATTCATTGTAATGTGTTAAGTTTACAGACTCTTTTACATGTCTAAAAGTCTCCATCTTTAAAAATCCCATTCTATATGCGTTTCCCATCCCCCTGTTTTTCATTGATCATATTTGATGAGCACACCAAATGAATGACATATGAGTCATTAAATTAGGTTCTCTGTTCCCAAGATTATATATTCAAACTCTATTCTATCCACTAGTATCTAGACGGACAGAAATCAACCTTTTTATTTTAATATTAGGCGTAACCTATAATGAAGTTGTACAAAGTCGTGTGTATACAATAATTCACATGATTTTTCATTTCTTTCCATTATTAATGACAATTCACGTTTTTACAAAAGCTTTTTAGAATACTCTGATTCCTATTTTAGAATGATTTCCCCTTTTTTTAATACACACTATTCAATTCACTCTGGGCGTGGTCAATAACAATATTGATAATGCTTTGTAGTAAATCTCATTCCATGAATTACACTTATCGACCACTTATTCAGTTAAATTGAATAGTGAATTATCTCAAGTAGTTGTTTTAATCTTAAAAAATGTATTACCTGTAACATATTTTCATAGTTGAAATCATCAGTCAAGACCACCATGGAAAACCTGGAAACACTGGACTGCCATTTCGTCCTTGCATGGGAATTCTCAGCAGTGCGCACCCTTAATCCCGCATACGGGACTTGAATCCATGATCTTCAGCCTCGTGCGCGAACGTTTAACCTCCATACCATAGAGTCGGCATCCGATGGTGCTAATGTTTAACTTCAACCAATCCAAGAAGTTTGAACTCAGTGGTCTATCGTTTAAGTGCTCTCGCGCAAGACTGGTAGGTCCTGGGTTCGAATCTCGCGAGGCGGGATCGTGGATGCGCACTACAAAGGAGTCCTGTAATAGAACGAAACGGCCGTCTAGTGATTCGAGGTTTTCCATGGTAGTCTAGCTTCAATTGAATCATGATTTCAACTATGAAAATACTGAAATCTCCACAAACCCCCTTCTGATCTATAACATATTTGTAATTCTTAACATCTATAATATTAATTAACAAAGACAACCTTATCCTATTTTCATAATGTTAAGTTTCCTAATCTGGATGAAATATTTATAAATGATCTTTCTTCCTCAATGTCATTTTTTCTAGACTTGATCTAGTATAGTTCAATCCTAAAGAAATCTGTTCGCTTCCTGAAAGTTCTATAAGCCAGTTTGATAGATATACAGAACTAATTAATTGTCCGATAAGAAATAAATCAACTAAACATTGTGAAAAAAGACTGATAATCGTAATAATCACAGAAGCTTACTACCAATTATAATGATCTAGATATGTTATTATCCAATTCATAAGTGTAGGCTATTTATTAGTTAACTTCTCAAAAGTTCCACAAAATTTTCTTTTTATTTTAGATAATTAATCGTGAATATAATATGCTATTACCAGAATAAGGACTCGTGGAGATTATAATAATTTTAATAGTTGAATTCATCAGTCGATTGAAGCTAGACCACCATGGAAAACCTGGAAACACTGGACGGTCGTTTCGTCATTGTATCGGACGTCTCAGTAATGTGCATCCATAATCCTGCACACGGGACTCGAATCCATGATCTTCAGCCTCGTGCGCGAACATTTAACCTCCATACCATAGAGCCGGCATTCGATGGTGTCGATGTCTAACTTCAATCGATCCATGATCTTGCGCAACCCTTCATCTATTGTCTGAGTGAATAACTGTTTACACTGAATGGTAAAATTCTATGAAAAGTTTGGAAGATAGAAATCAGCGTCTTTAGAGTGTTAATTAATCAGTCATCACTAAAGTATATTTTGAAATGTGTACTGTTTTAAAGTATAGTGTAACGACCATTAGTAACGAATCCTATCACAGCATTTAGTAATCAAATTGGCAAAACTTTAGGCGATCTCATAAACGAAGGGACAAATCAGAAAGTAATTAAAGCTCAGTGAACCTGCTCTCAGTTGATTTCAGTTGTTCTCCATCGTAGTTCTCTCTTCAGTGAACCTATTGCTTAGGGCTATCTTGAATTTGTTGAGTTTGTCAGTAACCCGAAAATAAGCTCTGTTAAACTTTTGTGATGTTGTCCGCCTCGTTATCCAGTGCTTCTTAAGTTTTAATTTCATCCTAACAACCAGCAAGTGATGATCTGATGCTATATCAGCTCCTCTCCTAGTTCTCACATCCTCCATCGTCCTCCTGAACTTTTTGTTGGTGCAGATATGGCCAATTTGTTTCTGTGTAGTGTGACCCGTTTAAATCCATGGAGTTTTGTGAATGCGTTTATGTGGGTATATGATGCCACCTTTCTCCTAGTGCATGTCGTCTCATGACGTCTTCGTATCCAGTGTTGTTCATTCCAACCTTGGCATTTAAATCCCCCATCAGAATGGTTAGGTCCTTTGTTGGGCACTTGTCGACGATCGAATGCAGCCTATCGTAGAATTGATTTTTAACGTCTTCGTTGTGGTTGTTGGTAGGTACATAACATTGGATGACGTTCATTATGATGCCCTCTTTCTTTATTTTGAAGGAGGCATTGATGGTCCTGGATCCATGAGATTTACATCCTATAAGTACATTTTGTGCTTGTTTAGATAGCATCAGTGCAACTCCTGGAGTATGTAGGACATTTTCTTCTTCCAACGTTCGTCCAATGTGTTTCACTGGTCCCAAGCAACTCTAGGTTGTATCTTTTCATTACTGCTGCAATTTTGGTGACTCTTTCGGTCTCCCACATTGCGCAAACATTCTATGTACTAAATTATTGATTGTTTCGGTTGTCAGAAGAGGCATCAGCCTTGTGACTTCCGAAGGTAATCGTATTTCACCATGAGGCGTCATAACTCTTCTAAATGAAGACCTTCTGACTCCCAGAATAGATTTGAAATGATTTGAATCATTTTTCCTGGTTAGCATTTTTTTAGTAAGTTAATGTTCTACGAGATGGGGTTGCCAACCTCATGCACAACCCTCCTCCTGTATCTAGGATTCAGACCGGTAGTAGCCCCAGAGTGGATCCAGGCGCAGCTGTGTTACTGTTTAACTGCAATCAACTTACGACATTGTTTGACCATGTTTCATTGTCCTTGGTGGGTTATTGGCTCACACCCGACATGGAGTAGCACCAGCGGTCACGGTCAACCGTGTAACTAATACGTGATTCCATATATATTACATTACGTACAACCTATCATTTATAAAGATCAACGATCAATGCCATACAAGCAAACATAAAATTTAAAATCGATGATCAACCTTCATAATTTTTTTAATTTCTTACCCTTTCTATTGCCATACAAATACGTGCTTATCTTTCAACTCAATTTATCTATGAATAAAATTCTTTTCATAACCAGTCTTAATTTTTACAACGCATAAGAAAGCTACAATAGTTACAATAATGTTAGTTTATATTACATTATAACAGAAACTAGAAACAATGAAAAGAAATAAGAATATTAATAATAACTGTAATAGTTGACCCATATTAGTCTTTCGTTACTATTTCCAAATGATTTTAATCATATGATGATGATGATGATGATGATGATGATGATGATGATGATGATGATGATGATGATGATGATGATGATGATGATGATGATGATGATGATGATGATGATGATGATGATGATGATGATGATGATGATGATGATGATGATGATGATGATGATGATGATGATGATGATGATGATGATGATGATGATGATGATGATGATGATGATGATGATGATGATGATGATGATGATGATGATGATGATGATGATGATGATGATGATGATGATGATGATGATGATGATGATGATGATGATGATGATGATGATGATGATGATGATGATGATGATGATGATGATGATGATGATGATGATGATGATGATGATGATGATGATGATGATGATGATGATGATGATGATGATGATGATGATGATGATGATGATGATGATGGTGATGATGATGATGATGATGATGATGATGATGATGATGATGATGATGATGATGATGATGATGATGATGATGATGTTGATGATGACGATGATTTGGATGATGATGATGATGTTGATGATCTTTTATATTCTGTCTTATATGTTTATATGAATGGATCAAGTCATTTTTTAGATCTTAATTTAAATAGTCTTAGAAAATATCATATTTTCTTTTGTGAGAATGATTTTAGATCATTCTAGTACTTATATGTTGAATTAGTTTCATTTCTCATAAATTACTTTTTTATGTAGGCTACACATGTGAATATGACGTTTTGTTACTGTGCAGTGTTCTTTTTTTCTTGTTCAATTACTTTTTAATAAGCATTGTTTTCAAATATTTAGCCTCCACATCAATGAATCTCAACATACACAAGGGAAAAGGTAAGATCCTTAAATACAACACAGAGAAGATCAACACAATCACACTTAATGGAAAGGCTATGGAATATGCAGAAACGTTTACGTACCTGGACAGTATCACCGATGAATAAAGAGGATTTGATGTAGACGAAAAGGCAAGGATTGACATAACAAGTACTGCATTCCTACAATTAAAGAATATATGGAACTCAAAACGAATATTTGCAAGTCAACATCAAAGTCACAATCTTCAATACGAACGTCAAGATAATTCTCCTGTTTGGAGATGAACTTGGAGAGCTACTGCAATCGCCATCAAAACAGTATAATTATTTATAAACAATTGTCTACTCAATATGCTATATGTCCGTTGTCCGGATACTATCAGCAACAACCTACTGTTGTGGAGAGCAAACCAACCTCCAAGTTGAAGAGGAAATTAATAAAAGACGCTGGAAGTAGACATGACATGCATCGCAAAAGTTATCAAACTGTATCACGAAGCAAACCCGTACTTATAATACTAAAGGGAAACAGAAAAGGGGAAGACCAAGGAACATATTGAATCGGGAATTGGATTCAGACATCAAAAGAATGAATAGTACTTGGCAACAACTGTAAAGGATTGGCGAGGACAAAATTCGTTGAAGAATCTTGGTCAGCAGTCTATGGATTACTTGAGGGTTAACAAAAGTAAATAAAGAACTTTAAAATATGATCTTACTGAACTGTTATAGACTATTTTCATCAGGTAAACTTACTGAATTAACGGAGGAAAGTGAAATAAAACTGAATGATGAAAAAAATGAAATACCCAATACATAATAGGTTTTCCTTACGCGTTTCTAGATTCCTCTGAACTCTGAACAGAATCAAAAGGTGGATATTTAGTGTAGTGTTTCACTCAAAGTTTAGCTATGGAAATCATTAGAAAAACATTGAAATTCTAGAATTTCTTAGAAGATATGCTAAAAATTGGCAAACCTTAGATGATTCAATATTCAGACTCGGAAGTAACATGAATACTTCAGTTTCTAGATCTTAATGAAGCTTTTACAGTGCACTGTTTGAGGAATTTTCAAGCCACTTAAAATCCATATGATACCTCCTAAAATTAATGAAGAGAAAACAAAACAATTTGATTATTTGCAGAGAATGAACAATCCAGTCTATAATTACCTAACAATTAAGCAATAACCTTGGATATTAGGAGGGTGAAAAAAACTGATAGAAAGATAGACTGATCATTCTGCTTTTGTACACATGGTCCAGGCTCGAATCTTTAATTTGCTGAAGCCTCGGTAATGAATAAGAGTTTATAAGTATTTCCCTTCGGGTTAAATCTTTCCACCGTGTAACTGATTTTGAATTTTAAGAAGTGTGATTGGAGACGTAACTAAAATTGATGAAGTGTTCTAGAATTTCAGTATCGGGAACAAAGGTGTATAAGTCCAACTTGGTAAACTTTTAAATTACAGACTAAACGTTATGTTAATGAAACGATGCATGAAGAATCCGGATTTCAGCTGAGAATGAAAGCTACGCCTAGTGTGTCCAAATTTACTCCTAGTCAATCCTTTCCAGGACCCTAATCAGGAACTCAATGTAAATCAGCTGAAGTTGGTCTTTTTATCGATAAAGATAACGTTTCTTCTTGTCGGTTATTTTCGATAATTTCGTATGAAGAAATATACTTATATGTGCTATAAACAATGTTTAAAATACATTATATTTTAATTCGATCTCTGTTATACAATGAAAACATATTATCAGTGTAGATCCGTGGAGATTTTTAAGATTTAATTGAAACCATGAACTGATCAACGTTAAATCACCATTAAAAACCTGGATGCACTGGATGGCATTTTCTTCCTATCATGGGATTCATCAGAAATGCTCATCCATGCTAGGACAAAACGGCTGTCCAGTGCTTTCAGGTTTTCAATGGTGGTCTAACGTTGTTTGGTTCATGATCCCATTGAAAACATATTAAATCACTCAAGTGACACGCTAGATGATAATCATTTTCTAAGAGATTTAAAAAGTCTAACTAAATGTTTATCAACTAGGCAGATCTTAAAAATCTTAACAATAATTACTTTTTTCAGTCAACTACACATACAATGTAGTTGTGTAGTCAGCAGAATTAAAAACCGAGTGAATTTCATAATGATAAGTTATGATGAAATTTTGTATGTTACACATGGATATATTTTTACAAAAGTTGAAATTCCACTGTATTTTTTGAAAAGCTATTTGAGAATGTATTCTTTCATATAACATCAAAAAACTCTAACTAAACAGTTTACCTTAAATATTAAGTTAGACATTAACACCGTTTGATACCGTCTCAGTGGTCTAATGGTTAAACGCTCGTGCGTGAGACCGATAGATCCTGGGTTCGAATCTCGCAAGGCGGGATCGTGGATGAGCACTGCTGCGGAGTCCCACACTAGGACCAAACATCCGCCCAGTACTTCCAGGTTTTCAATAGTGGTCTAGCTTCAATTGACTCATGAATTCAACCATATAAAATTACTAAAATCTCAACCAAACCCCTCCTGCTAATAATGTCACTGTTTACCAAAATCTAATGAAATTTCGAAAATTTGAAATTAGAACAAAATGTTACTTTATTCTACCTGGGGAATGAAACCATGGTTTACTAACAGAACTTTTTTCCGAAACTTTGATCGAATGGATCCCAAAAAAAGAATCCTTAGTCAGCTAGCTAACTAATTCCATGAATATGTGCGATGGAAAATGACTCAGAAAAAAAGCATAAGCTTAAAATGTCTTTGTTGATAATTAACCACGGTTATACTGCTATTAAAACTCCGCCTGTAGCTCCTCCGGAGGCTACTGCCGGTCCCAAGCCCGGGTAAAGGAGGAGTGTTGGGCATGGGGTTAGCGATCCCATCCCGTAGAAAACCAACTCTCTAAAAACAGCTAACCAAAAAAATACTGCTATTAAACAGTCAATTAGAAGAAAGCAAAGACTAAAAATTTTCATTTACTAAACCAAGCAACTGAAAGAGCAGTAATTGAACAAATACATCACTTACTGACAAAGTATATATCAATCACACAGTTTTCAATATCACTGTTGAAATACTGAGTTGTATACCATGTCAAAAGTGTGAGAAATTAAGGTAATTATTGATGTACATAACATTCAAAATGGTATGACCAAATGTCATTTATTACTTAATAAATGAATAATCTAGTTGGAAGTTTTGTAAAAATCAGTTTTGATTTAAATCGTGTATTCTTCACAGATTGATCTTAGTTGAGGTGCCACCCAAAAACTAGTGGGGAAGAATTGGTCAGGTGTATCATTGTAACGTGAGACCTCTACATGTTACACACCTATGACCCGACTATGGTTCGGACCCCAAACTTCTAGACCCCTTAATGAATGCTAAGTCAAAGTAATGATAGAGATGGAGATCAATGGTTGATTCTCAACTTTGATCATTTTGGATTACTGATGAACTTCAGATATATCGCTAGGTAAACAGTTGTCATAAGTAACAGCATTTGCAAAAGAATCCCGTACTTTAACGAAACGGCTGTTCAATGCTCTTCAGTGTCGAGTGGTTACAGTGATTACAGTTTACAAAATGTATGAATCTCCATAAATCATCAAAATAAATAATAAACGTCAATTCATCAGTATACTTTCTCGAGATTCATTCAGTTTTTTAATGGGAAGTGACGGAATATACACAATCATATGAATAATGAGGTAGCTTTTCATCGATTATACTGGATAGTAATCAAGAATTCACTGAAACTAAAAGTACAACGAACATGAGATTTCATATGAGCAACTTAACCGTATCATGGTCATCATAAGAAATCCATACGTTACAACTAATCTCAAGTATGTTTATGAATGCATGTTGTTTACGAATCCAAAATCGTAAAGAAACACCTATCCAGTGCTTCGTAGCTTTCAATAATCCTCAAACTAATGTAAGACTACAATGAACTTTTTTTTAATTGATGAAATCGTTCTAAATAATATATTGGCAGAAACTTCCATTGAATGCATTAAAACAGTAAACTTCAGATGTTATCACAATGTTGTACATTACTGTACATTTTATTCAATGCAATTATGAGGAATTAATATCAGAACTAAATTTAATTAGTATTGTTTGTTTGAATCTTCCCATTGATGTTTTTAGGACTGCAACTGGTCATATGTGCATACTTTGCGTATTGCCTCGATATAGCCTATCAGGCTATCAGGACTCACCGGCCGAGTGGATAACGCGATGGCATTTGAAGCGAAAGATACTGGGTTTGAGTTCCAGAGTGAACATCAACTCTGAGATGCAGGTAAATCCGGCTGACGAGTCCCGAATAGAACGAAACGAGCATTCTGGATTCCACTGCTAGCCACTACCCATCTTTGCTTGCCATAATATCAGAACTGTTTACTGCATTGATCAATGAAACTTCTAGAAGAAATCTGATCAAACTTTTGGTTATTAAATCAAAATTAGGTCAAATTAATTAATTAAGTCAATAACAAAACAGTTTTTTTAGAGAAAAGAACATATAATGTCGTTCATTCATGTGATTAACACTAAAAGTTAACTGATACATTTTTATTCAAACGTATATTCTTGTATCATTATTCAATGAAATCAGTGATCTCATCCTCAATTTGTTTATTACATAAATGTATTGATTAACTATTATATTCCATGATCCATTCTATTTGGTGTATCTTTGTGTCATTATAACTATTGTATATAGCAGATATGGGTGAATAATTGAGAAACGTGGAACCTCTTGAAATTATTTTCATTGTGAAATTTACTTAGTATTGTTTGGATCTTCCCATTTATGTTTTTAGGACTGCAACTGGTCAGTCTCTAATTGGCATATGTGCATACTGTGTGTATTGCCTCGATATAGCCTAAATTCACAAGCATAGTAAGCAAAGATGAGTAGTGACTAGCAGTGGAATTCAGGACGTGCGTTTTGTCCTATTCGGGACTAGTCAGCTGGATTTACCTGCATCTCAGAGTTGATGTCCATTCTGGGACTCGAACCCAGTAACTCTCGCTTGAAACGCCATCGCGTTATCCACTCGGCCACTGAGTTCTGATAGCCACTCGCTTGTGCAATGGGGTGAAGTTGAAATTTACTTAGTATTGTTTGTTTGGATCTTGCCATTGATGTTTATTATTATTTATATGTATTCTTAATGAGTAATCAGTCAATACTTTGTTTGCGGTATATTTTATCTCACCTGAATTGTAAGCTTTTATCTAAGTTATTCAATGGTGTTACCTTTTATCATTTATGAATAATTATTAACGTACCTGTTACTCAAATTTTATATCATAAACGACTTAGTTATGTACAGATTGTGATCTTCCACTGATGGTCTTATGGTTTTATGTGAAGGGGAAAAGTAAAAAAGCAATGATATATAGAGGAAATAATTTTTCGGGATATATATCTTGCTTAATTTGAAGTCTGTAAAGTAATGACACTTTTTTGATATCTTTTTCTTCTATGAATCGAAACTTACTTACTTACCTACACCTGCTACCCCCAATGAAACATAGGCCGCCGATCAGCATTCTCCAACTCATCTTGGAGCCCCTCTGGGGCTACTACCGGTTCCAAGCCCGGATAAAGGAGGAGGGTTGGGCATGGGGTTAGCCACCGCATCTCGTAGAGGACTAACTCGATAAAAAGCACCAAACAGAAAGAAATGCTATGCATCAAAATCTTACTTTTAATGTATAACTTGGCGTCATATTCTTTTTTGTTTCAAAATTACTGATATCTAAACTTAACATTATATGTTCTGCACTTTTTACTGTAATGACCTACTTTGAGCATAATTGTATTTTTCTCATTTTTTGTGTTTTGTTGTCGTGTTAGTCAGATATTTATTCGTGTGCCTTTTTGAGTAAGTTTAAATCAGGAATAAGCCCTGTAACAGTTCCAGAAGAATCGTCTTCTTGCTCTCCGATTACAAACCTATCAGGTCACAGGTCAGTGACTGGATACTTTCCTTCTTTCTCCCCAAGTAGCCGCTTCAGTCACAACCAGAACGTGCGTGTTGCAAATCTCAAGGTCGGACCAAGTTACCTGGCACTTCGAATCATCAAACTGGATCGAGACTATTCTCTCTTCCTTTATGTTAAACACAGATAATAGACAGATAGATCAGGAGGTAACAGGATTACTGAGCTTTTCAGTAATAATAAAAGGAGACAGATAGGTTTGTTGTTTTCGTGTTCTGACTGACCATTGGAGAAATTAGTGGCGTAAATCACTGGGCATTAGGATACCCTGTTACTGTTGGCAATAATTTGTACTATTGGTTAAACACAAGGTTACTGGTCTGACTATTATAAAACGGATTCCTCATCAGCCGACTCTATAATCCTCTGATCCTATCAAGTGGGGCAACATAAAATATTTCAATTCATAACAATAATAATCGCTAATATGTTAAGATAGATGTATTTGGTTTAAACTGGCATTATCTGAAGGATCATTATTCGACCAAAAAGCTACCGATAAATGTTTCGTCTCCAGCTCGGAACTCTACAACAATGTGAACTCATAACCC